CCTGTGCCCCCCCCGGGGTGGGGCGGGGCGGTGACGTCGGCTGTGACGTCACCGGCCGTTATGAACAGGTGCGCTCACCTTTGCCCCCACCCCACCTGGAGCCGCCGCCGGGCCCGGAGGTGACAGCGGGGGGGAGGCCGGGGATCGATCGATCGGGGCCCATCGGGGATCGATCGGGGATCGATGGGTTTGGGGATCGGTTTGGGGATCGATCGGGGGCGACAGGGACGGGGGGAGATCGATCAGGGATCAATCAGGGATCGATAGGGGCTGGGGAGGGTCTGTAGGGGATCAATCAGAGCCTATCGGGAGCTATCGGGGATCGATCAGGGATTGATTGGCTGGGGGAGCCATTGGGGATCGATCGGGGATCGATAGGGACGGGGGGAGATCGATCAGGGATCAATCAGGGATCGATAGGGGCTGGGGAGGGTCTGTAGGGGATCAATCGGGGACTATTGGAGGCGATTGGGGATCGATCAGGGATTGATCGGCTGGGGGAGCCATTGAGGATCGATCGGGGGTTGTTGGGGCCGGGGGTGGTTGGTTCGGGGTTGATTCGGGGTTGGTTGGGGGTTGGGGGGGGCTTTTGGGGGTTCATTCGGGAGTTTTGGGGGTTGGTTTGTTTGGGATTGGTTGGGGGAGCCATTGGGGATCGATTTGGGATCAATTATTTACTGGAGGGGATCGATAGGGGCTGTAGAGGATCAATCGGGGATCAATCGGGGATCGATTGGTTGGGGCTTGGTTGGGGATCCATCGGGGATCGATTGGTGATTGGTTTGGGATCAATCGGGGGCTGTAAGGACAAGGGGGATCGATTGGGGATCAATCAGGGATCAATCAGGGGCTATCGGAGATCAATCGGGGATCGATTGGTTTGGGATCAATCGGGGATCGATTGGTGATTGGTTTGGGATCAATCGGGGGCTGTAAGGACAAGGGGGATCGATCGGGGATCAATCAGGGATCAATCGGGGCTGGAGAGGATCGATTGGGAACCAATTGGTTGAGGATCGATAGGGGATCAATAGGGGATCGATTTGGGATTGATCGGGGGCTATGGAGGATCGATTGATTTGGGATTGATCGATTGGGGATCGGCTGGGACTCTCCAATCAATTGGAGATCGATTGGAGGCTACAGGGACAGGGGGAGGGTCTGTGGGGGATCAATCGGGGATCGATTGATTGATTGGGGGCCATAGGGCATCAGCTGGAGATCGATCAGGGATCGATTAGAGATCGATTGGAGGCTGTAGGGGCCGGGGAGGGTCTGTAGGGGATCAATAGGAGATCGATTGGAGATCGATCAGGAGCTATAGGGACAGGGGAAGGGTCTGTAGGCGATCGATCAGGGATCGATTTGGGGCTATAGGGGATCCATAAGGAATCGATTGATTAGGGATTGGTTGGAGATCGATTTGAGATCGATTGGAGGCTGTAGGGGACGATTGGGGATTGATTGATTGATTGATTGATTGGGAATCTACAGGGGCTGGAGTGGATCTATAGGGGATTGATTGATTGATTTGGGATCAATTGGAGATCAATAGGGGCTGGAGAGGATTTATAGGGGATTGATGGATTGATTGATTGATTGATTGATTGATTGATTGATTGATTGATTTGGGATCAATTGGAGATCAATAGGGGCTGGAGAGGATTTATAGGGGATTGATTGATTGATTGATTGATTGATTGATTGATTTGGGATCAATTGGAGATCAATAGGGGCAGGGGAGGGTCTGTAGGGGATCAATAGGGGATCAATAGGGGCTGGAGAGGATCTATAGGGGATTGATTGATTGATTGATTGATTGATTGATTGATTGATTTGGGATCAATTGGGGATCAATAGGGGCAGGGGAGGGTCTGTAGGGGATCAATAGGGGATCTTTAAGGGATCTATAAGAAACCTATAGAGGATCAATAGAAGATCTATAGGGGATCAGTAAGCGATCTATAAAGGATCAATAGGGATCCATAGGGTATCAATAGGTGATCAATACCAATCAATAAGTAATCAATACTCATCAATAAGGTGTCCCCAGGTCCGGTGATGGCGCACGGGGGGGCTGCAGGTGCTGGGGTCCATGGGGTGTCTATGGGCACCAATACCGATCAATAGGGCACCAATACCGATCGATAGGGAACCAATACCGATCAATAGGGCACCAATACCGATCGATAGGGCGCCAATACCGATCAATAGGGAACCAATACAGATCAATAGGGTACCAATACCGATCAATATGGTACTAATACCGATCAATAGGGCACCAATAGGTACCAATAGGGTACCAATGCTGATCAATACCAATCAATAACTGATCAATAACTGATCAATAACTGATCGATACAAGTCCGGCGATGGCGCACGGGGGGGGCTGCAGGCGCTGGGATCCAGGGGGTGTCTATGGGCTATAGATCAGTACCAATACCGATCGATAGATAATCAAGAACTGATCAATACGGATCAATACAGGTCCGGCGATGGCGCACGGGGGGCTGCAGGCGCTGGGATCCAGGGGGTGTCTATGGGCTATAGATCAGTACCAATAGGTTACCAATACCGATCGATAAGTGATCGATAACTGATCAATACAGGTCCGGCGATGGCGCACGGGGGGCTGCAGGCGCTGGGGCTCGCTCTGGCCGTGGCCGGCTGGGATCCAGGGGGTGTCTAT